ACTAAATATTAAATCATACAGTGAATACCAATTCCTACAGGTGTGGTCTCATATTAGCTAGGCTTACATACAGTTGACATGTAAGATACCGTATTCATCACATGGTATTATTAAGGGGTAGAAGCACATGCATTATGATTGCTTGCATTGGGGGTGAGTTTTGATCCCTTCTGTCTTCCAGATCCCTTTAAGATGCACCATGATGATAGTCTGGCAGATCTGCTCTTTCTCTCCAGTGGAACAACAAATGCTCCAACATTTGTGAGGCAAAGTGATCCCCAGGAGGAGCGTCATGGTATGGCTTCTCCAACTGGATTTATTCTACTGAGAAGGAAAAATAATGTTTCTTAGATTCATTGTTTGAGACCCATATAACAAAAGACACTAGAAACAATGCTTAATTTTGTATTTGTGAATAATCTGGATAATATATTTCATTTTTACTTTTCTGTGGACTTAAGGTCTCTGGGAAGAAGGATGTTAAATGAGTTGAGTGCTGATGTTATCCATCTGGCCTCCTAATACTTTGATGATGTTGGCTGTGACCCCTGTGCTTTGAGCTTACTTGCTAGTGGGTCATCTTGCTGCTTTTCTTCCTCTGTGCCCTGTGTCCTCTCTGCTTTCACCCTAGGTGAAACGATCCTTCCTCTTCCCTTTTCTTCTGTGTGTGCTTTTTGTTGTTTTTTGAGATGGGGGTCTTCGTAGTTCAGGCAGACCTCTTAACTCACTATGTAGCCCAGGCTGGCCTGGAAACGGCAGCGATTTTCCTGCCTCAGCGTCGAGAATGCTGGAATTATGAGTATGTGGCATCATGCCTGGCTCTCCAACTCCCTTTTCTAATCCATTCTGAATATTCCTGCTCTATTGATCATTCTGAATTCCTGTTGTGTTCTTATCTGATTTTCATAATTAAGACCTTAAAAGAATCTTTTGTTCATTTCTAAATTTCTACTGGCTTTTAAGATCTTCGTTTCCTTGTTTATTTTATTCAGGTTTTCCATCTCTGGTATGTAATATACTTTCACCAGACGGATCTCCTGGGCCTGCCACCATCTTTATGCTTTCTTTGCCCAGTGTTCTCTGTCCTTGAAATTGACCGCCCAGTCTCCTCTCTTGCTTCTCCTCTGAGACCCTCTGTGGTAGTCTGGTCCATCTCTTTTTCTGAACTCCTATAGCACTTGCTCCATACTATACAGTAGCATAGTACACTGTACAGTATGCATTATTTGATATATGTCTGTCTTGCCTAAATTATAACAGTATAACTGAAATGTTGCCACCGATGGTGGCAGTGTGCCTGTAGTCACCACTACTTAGGAGGGTGAAGCAGGAGAATTGCCTGAGCCCAGGAATCCCAGGCCAGTCTGGGCTACATAGCATGACTGTTCCTAAATAATAGTCATGATCTTAATGTCTGAGACTAGCTGGTGTTAAATCTAAGGTAGAGGGCATAGGATGGCATAATTTCCTCTGGTGGTTATCTAGTTGTTAATAATTTACAAAGCATTTTCATAAAAGGAAGTGTTAATCTCATTTCACAGATGAATTAAGGCTCATAGTTCATTATATACTATATTACATTGGTTGTGGTATTGCTAGTGTTTAGTCTTCGATATTTTGAATCTTTTTTTTTTTCCTCCCATACTATGGGAATTGAACCTAATCCCTTGAACATGCTAGGTAAGGGCTCTATCCCTGGGCTGAATACCTAGCCCTTCCTTCTTTTTTTTTTTTTTTT